GGGCTCCCTGCTCTGCGGGAAGCCTGCTTCTCCCTCTCCCACTTCTCCTGCTTGTGTTCCCTCTCTCGCTGTGTCTCTCTCTGTCAAATAAATAAAATCTAAAAAAAAAAAAAAGAAGCTGTGGCTTTCTGGCACCATCCGCACATCCTGCAGATGAAGGAGTTGGCAGAGAGGGAGATGGCCAGTGCCCGCTGGACTCCAGGGGTCATGGCCAGCAGGTCCTGGCTCTGAGGGGGGGGGGAGGCCCAAGATGCAGGATGAGGTGTCAGGTGGCATGGGGTTTAGGAAGGCTCCCTGGGAGAGGCAACAAGCAGGCAGGCCCTAGAGGAGCAAGGGGTGGGGGTGGGCCTTCCAGGTACCAGGCCTGGCAGGGCCCAGTCTACAAGGGAGAGGGCCTGCATCCTGTGGTTGCATTCCTGGGAGGGGGATGGTCTCTTGCGGGTGCTGAGCCCCGGGCCGTGAGCCGGATGAGAACTGAGGTATGCTGTGGGGGGGTTGGGGGACTGTTCCATTTTTGGAGGCTGCTGCCGGAAGAGCAGCCAAGCATTTCCTCTTGTCCCTGTGGAGGGCTTGAGCGTGACTGTCCTTGGGAACTGGGTCAGCTGATGGGGGTGGGGTGGGGGTGCCCATGCTGGTGGTGTCCTCGTTGCCCCTGTCCCCAGGCGGCCAGTGCCCTCAGTGATCTGAGCCCACAGAGTCCCCCGGGCCCCCGAAGCAGAGGTCCAGAGAGGTTACGAGCCTGCCAGGGGCCTCACAAAGGCCACGTGACCTGAGAGCCACTACCTGGAGACAGATGATCTGAAGTCGGAATCCCAGCTCCACCACTGAGCTTGGGCCAAGTCACTTCCCCTGTGTGGGCCTCAGGTTCCTCATCTGTGGCACAGATGCCCGTTGCTAAGGGGCTCGCTCTTGAGGGGCACGTGGGAGCACCCACGGGGCTTGGCTGGAGCCAGCAGGGGCTGCGTGTTGGCCCCGGCCGGTTAGGTCGCAGTGATGGGATGGCGAACCTCTTCGCCCTCATTTCTTTCTGCCTCGCTCTGCGTCTGAGTGGAGATTCTAGAGCTGCTGGGCCTCCTCTGTCGGGCTCCATCTCCATCCTCTCTTTTGAGGCAGCTGATGGTGTGTCTGTGCTGGGATTTGTGTAGCCAGGTCTCCTCCTGGTGGACATCGAGGCGACGTCTCGTTCTTTCCTCTTAGAGATGACGCGGCTGCATGCTTCTCTGCCTCTGTAGTGGTGCAGTGCTTTGGGCTGTTTGCCAGCGTGTCTGACTTCCATTTTCTTTGTAGCATCACTGCTGAGCTGTGGTTTCTGAGCCTACGGGGTCTCCCCTTCCCAACATTTACCACAAAAATTGGAACATATGGAAAAGTTGAGGAATTATACAGCAAACACCTGTAGGCTCAGTCCCTATATCTGAGGACGAACATAGTTTATTCTTGCTTTATCCCGTATCTAATGGGCCCAGCACTCATCGTTAGTCACTTGGCTCAGAAGGCGTGAAGAGGCCTCCTCTGCCCACTTCAGGCCCTGCCCAGAAAGCGGTTCTCCTGAGGGGTTCGTGTCTAGGTGGGGGGCCCCGGGAACAGCCAGAAGGTGAGGAGAGCCAGACGGGCTTTGATGAGGCCAGCAGCTGCGCCCTGTTCCCCATCCTGTGCACACACTCGGGGAGGAAGGACAGATGGGCCCCAAGGGCGCGCGTCTGGGATCTTGGCGAGCTGGACAGTGCTGGCAGCTCAGGATCCCACTAGGACGGCGGCTTGCATCTCCTTTGACCCACAGCAAGGGGGTTTCTGTGTCACAACTCTGGACTCAGTCTCAAGGGTAACACCGAGGAAGCAGCTCCCTCACACGTACGCCACCTGCTGTCCGGTGACGCATGCCCGTATTTCCCCTTGTGTCCTGTTCATCCAAAAGTGACAAGTGCTGGTTACACCCACCTGTTGGTTGGTTTGTTTTGTTTTGTTTTTCTCATAGCGCGTCGTGACGTTTCGTTTCGCAAAATACTTCATGAGAGTTTCTGTTCCCCCCAGGGGACAGGATCTTTGCTGGTTTTGTTCCCTGAGGAATTCCCTGAGGTCCGGAAGGGGGCTTGGCTGTAGGAGCGCCCCCTGCAGATATTTTCTGCGAGGATGAATCTGTGGCTCCCCAAATTCCTGGAGCCACTGTGACTGATTCTTCGCTTTCTCTGCTTGACAAGACACCTGTCCCAGAAGGCCATCAGCTCCCTGCCTGCAAGCGAGACTACTTCTCTTTCTCATTTTGAGCATCTTTCTTCCTTTTTCAGAATATGCTGAGTTTTTGCACTGTAAGTCCAAAAAGTTTACAGACTTTGATGAAGTCCGGCAGGAGATTGAAGCGGAGACTGACAGGGTCACGGGGACCAACAAAGGCATCTCCCCAGTGCCCATCAACCTGCGGGTCTACTCGCCCCACGGTAGGCAGCACAGGCGCGGACCCTTTGGGTGTCGGGGCAGAGGGGAGCCGACTCTGTGCCACTCATGGGTGGGGTTGGCCACACTCTCACAAAAAATATGACCCCTTCCATTTTTCTTCACACGCACACAGCCCTCTTGATCTCTGTCTTACCATTTTTTGATAGGAATGTGGTACTGAGAAATCAGTCTCAGCTCTCAGGAAACACAGCATGCTGGAAAGACTGTTGGGAGTGGTGGGGACTGGGGCAAATCGCAGCTGTATGCCCCTGTGGAAAGGGGTGGCCATGGTGTGGTTCCCAGGTCACGGCGGCCACATAATGACACCAGCCCAGGGTAACCAGGTCTTCCGGGCCTTACAGAGGAGCCAGATAGCCAGTCTTCTCTGTAAAATGTTCTGATTTAAAAAAAACTCCCATCATTTACCTAGCGCCGCCTGCCACCAAGTACAACTTGTGGCCCCGGGGCATAGATTGCTAACTCAAATGGCATTTGGAGAATTTTCTAGCAGACTCTGAACTCCTCAGCATGAGTTCTTGGAGTTTTAAAATTGATTTATTTTTGAATAAATGATGCCTGTACACAGCACAAAAATACAAAAATTATGAAAGGGTATAGAGCAAAAACCTACACTGCCCTCAGTATTACGAACATATTTTATATTCTCACTCCTGAGTCAGTTATGAACATGTTTGTGTGTATATCATGCTTGTGTGTTTCACCGCTTTTATTCAAATTGTAGCATAATATAAAATGCCTCTTCTTTGTATGAATACATCTCAGAGTGTGTCTCTTATCGGAGTATCATCTTTTTGTTTTTATGGTAAACATTGGTAAACAGCAGCCTTTGGTCATGGCTGAATTGATGGGCCGAAATTTATTTAGCCACTGAGAGCAATTCCAGGCTGCCAATGCAAATGTCCCGATTTAAAACTGTATCACTGCAATAGAGAGAGGCTGTCTGTAGGAGGGGGCCCTCGAAGAGGAACTGCTGGATCCAAAGGTGTGATCTGGTCTGGTTGGAGGGCAGGAGGAATCCTGCAGGCAGACCCCTCCCAGCACTTGGGGAAGTGGGCTGGGTAGCTGTGGGGCCGTGCCTGCCTCCCCTCCTCTGTCTCTGATGACCTTTCCCTCTGGTTTCCCTCTCAGTGTTGAACCTGACCCTCATCGACCTCCCGGGTATCACCAAGGTGCCTGTGGGGGACCAGCCCCCAGATATCGAGTACCAGATCAAGGACATGATCCTGCAGTTCATCAGCCGGGAGAGCAGCCTCATTCTCGCCGTCACCCCTGCCAACATGGACCTGGCCAACTCGGACGCCCTCAAGCTGGCCAAGGAGGTCGACCCACAAGGTAACCACTGAGCCCTGCCGTAGCCGTTCCCCTCCCGAGGGCCTGGATGCATGGCAACTTGCCCAGCATCCTTGATTCCAGGTCACTGGTGTTCTCTTTGGCATATGACCCCTAGGAAAAGGCCCTCCTGGGATACAGCATCTCCCGTGGGGACCAGCAGTGCCGGAGGGCTGCCCCTGGGAGGCTCTTGTGTGGCAGTTGGGCGTTTCTCCTCAGCTTGGTCCCCCTCAGTCAAAATGGCAACAGCAATCCTAGCCTGTAGAGCTGCTGAGAGGACTAGAGATGTCCGTGTAACTGCTCAGGGGCCAGGCAGAGAAGGTAAAAGGTTGATGAGTTAGTGAAGCCAGATGGGGCAGTAGGGATCAGTGAGGACTGTGGCGTCTCTGGCTCGGGGCATTCCGGGTCAAACTTTTCCTTGGGCCATTTATTAAGTACCTGTCAGTTAAGTACCTGATACATGCCAGGCTCTGTTTTGGCCTTGGGGACCCTGCAGGGGACAAAGTTGACAGGGCCCCTGCCACTGGTGAGTTGATGTTCCAGGGAGGGAGACAGAAAACAGTAAGAAAATAAGCAGGTGGGGCAGTTTCAGCCAGAAGTAAGCACTGGAGGAAAATCCAACCCTTTGAGAGTGGCTGGGGTTGGGGGTGTAGGGGTCAGAGGCCACTGAAGATGTGAGGTTTCAGGCAAGACCAGAATGATGAATGATGAAAAGAGGCAAAATCCAGGAAAATGGCCAGTGATGCTAAATAGGCTGGGCCGGATTTGAGCCTGGGGTGCCCAGAACATGGTGAGGAGGCCATTGTGACTGGGGCAGAGGAGGCGACGTGGAGGGGGTGCGACCGTCCAAGGGGCCTTGGTGGCTGCCGTGGGGAGCTGGGTGTGTCCTGCATGTGTTGGTGGTTGTGGAGTGGGACACACAATGAAATACGATTTGCAAAATGCCTCTGACTGCCTGATTCCATGGTGGTTCGGAGGGAGTCGGGGACCAGGGAGGAGCTGGGGAAAGACGGGCTCTGGCGCTCTGCTCCCTGGCTTCTGGTCCCCAGTCCGGCCCGAGGACGGCCAGTGGAGGGATGGGAGCTGACGGCCCTTTCACACACTGGACTGTGAGCTTTTCAGAGTCGAGGGCAGTGCTCCGAGTATCTTTGTCCCAAGAAGGACACGCTGTGTCCCCATGGTCATCCCAGGCATGGTCTCCCAGGAAAGGCCACGCCTATCCGTGGGCCCCCCACAGGCTCCCCGTGCCCCCGGTCCAGTCCCATGGATAGAGCATGATTGTGACAGAGATGCCACAGAGGCTTGATCGGGTGGTAAGGAAATGGGCGTGGGTTCAGTTACACTTGTAAACTCAATGTTGGCTCTTTTTCTGGCTTTGGAAGTGTTCATAATTATTACCCCCAAAATGTCACCGTTATAAAACACAGAATCTAAGAAGCGACCGCTCCCCTTCCCCTACAGAGATACCAGTGGCCACGCCTCAGAAATAGCCTCTCATAGTTTGTTCTCCCGTGTAAACTCACATTTTAAAAAATGCGGTGATCTTTCCTTATTTTTCTGTACACTGTGTGTGTGTGTGTTTCCCTGTTACCATCGGGACGCATGTGCACAGCATCCACCGAGCTGGCCACTCTCACCTCTTCTTTGTTCATAAATGATCCTCCAGTGAAATGCAGCATTTCCGGTAGAGTCCAGGCCTCCAGGCCCCCTCCCCAGGCCCCCCCCCACTCTGCCTCTCCCCTCCCTGCCTGGCACAAGCTTTGTGGGTATTCACAGCTGTGGCCCCTTCACCCTCCAAAAAGGTGATGGCACCTCACAGCCAAATATGAACAGGCAAGAGCACCAGGGAGAGCACAACTCTCAGCCCCACGAAGCCCCCCTTAGCACCCTCTGGAGATCTCCCTGGGCTTCCTGTGTGTCACACATACGCACACGTACACACACACGCAGGCACGCGCACGCGCGCTATCACAGAGGATCCGTAGGCCCACCAGGGCCAGCTGATCTGTAGGTGAGCAGCTTTGCTAGGAGGGTTCCCTTGATTCGAGGTGACCTGGGGACAGGAGGAATCCGATGAGGTGGTTTCCAGAGTGGAATTTTGGCCATTCAGGTGCAAGGTAACCCTAGGAACAGTCGCCGTGGTTTTGCGTATGATGTTGGGACTTTGCGGGTAAGTCAGAGAGCACAGCATGGAGACTGAGCCTGGATTTTGAGTTTTCATGAGGTCTTCCCTGACACTGCGGCAGCAAGGCACTGTCGCAGGTCACAGGAATGACAATGACGGTGGCCAGTATTTACTGATTGCATGTTTGTCACAAGCCAGTTTATCTTCATGGGCAACCCTCTGAGATTGGTGTGGCTGTTGTCTTCACTTGACATGAGGGAAACTGGGGTCCAGGCAGGTGACGTTATAGCTTGTCCCAGGTCTCACAGCTTGGAAGTGGAGATCCCCCCTCCCCAGGCTGCCAGCCCAGGCTCCTCCCTCACGGCATCCTCTGACCTCTGGGCTCTTTCAGGCCTGCGGACCATCGGCGTCATCACCAAGCTCGACCTGATGGACGAAGGCACTGACGCCAGGGACATCCTGGAGAACAAGCTGCTCCCCTTGAGAAGAGGTGCGTGCGGTTGGGCGGGGAGCTGGGAGCCATGGGGGGCGGTGGCTGGGAGGAGGTTCAAATGACAATGTTTTTGTCCTTATCGTTACCGAAACCTGGACCGATGCCAGGAAGTATGCACAAATAAGCACCCACCACTGCCTGTTTCCCCACGGCCCAGAGTAACTACTTTTTCATGTCTTTTTCTTCTGATTTGTACACGTTGATTTTCCATTTACACAGTGAACACCTGCTCACTTGGGGAACATAAACAAACCTACAGAAAAGGGAAACCAGAGTCATCCACAGCACCCCCTCTCCCACTAGTTCCTACCTTGTGGCTCTCCTCCCAAAAATGTTCCCCAGGATGCATAATTAATTAATTAGCTTCTTTTCTTCCTTTTCCTTTTCCTTTCCTTTCCTTTCCTTTCTCCCTCCCACCCTCCCTTCCTTCCTTCCATCCTTCTGATTTATTTATTTATTTGAGAGAGGAGGGGTGGTGGGGGAGAGAGAGCGTCTCAGGCAGACTCTGCATTGAGGTTGGAGCCTGACACGTGGCCGGATCTCATGACCCTGAGATCACGACCTGAGCTTGAAACCAAGAGTTGGATGCTTAACTGACTGCACCACCCAGGGGCCCCAGGATTCATAACTCCTTCCTTCCTTCCTCCCTCCCTCTCTTCCTTCCTTCCTTCCTTCCTTCCTCCCTCCCTCCTTCCCTCCCTCCCTTTCTTCCTTCCTTCCTTCCCTTTCTTTCTTAGATTTTACTTATTTGAGAGAGAGAGAGAGCTCCCGAGTCGGAGGGGCAAAGGGAAAGGGAGAGAGAGAATCCCAAGTAGACTCCCTGCTGAGCATGGAGCCTGATGTGGGGCTCGATCCCATGACCCTGAGATCATGACCTGAGCTTGAAACCAAGAGTTGGATGCTTAACTGACTGAGCCACCCGGGCGCCCCAGGATTCATAATTTTTATTAATGTTCATGCTTACTTTCTATTTGAACATTTAAAAAACATTCTTGAAAGTAGAGAGAGAAGTACGAGGAGCTCCCATGGACCCAGCCTTAGTGTTATCAACTGTACACAGCTAATCTCAAATCCCTGAATGTCCTCCCCTTATTTGCTTCCTGGGGGACTACAAAGCAAATCCTTGGCATCATATCATTTTACACATAAATACCTATGTTTCTGGTTGAACAGCTCCCTCACCAGCCCCTTTTTTTTCCCTCCTATACCATTTTTTGTGGAAGAAACCAGATCGTGGCCCACACTTGGGATTGGGCCAATTGTTCCCTATAAATTGGTAATTAAATCTAGATGGAGAACCTGATAAGGTTCAGGTTTAGGATCAAGTTTAGATCTTCTGACAGGAATAGCCTAAATATTTTTCTTTTCAAAAAATTAGAATAGCAGGGGTGCCTGGGTGGCTCAGTCGTTAAGCGACTGCCTTCGGCTCAGGTCATGATCCCAGGGTCCTGGGATTGAGCCC